TTGCTTTTGCTTTTGTTTTTGTTTTGCACAACCCAACTCTGGGGTATAAAACTACAAACACCCAAACAATTGGGGCACTTGGTTCGGCTTTGGCCAGCTAAGCTGCCTGCTTGGACTGTATCGGAGTATATTTCCTTTTCTTGCAAATAATTTCTTGCATGCTTTGCTATTTGATACTGTCTCTTGCTTGAATTCCTTCCTACAAGCAAGACAAGAACTGAGGACACAGAGACCACCTCTAGCAGTAAGGTATAGGTCTTTAGCACAAGCTTGATAAATAGGTAAAGTAAGGTTAAAGCTATGGTGGCCAAAGAGAGAGATGTGTAGGGCTGTGAACTTGGATAAGGGTATTAAAGACATATTATTCTCTTCAATGACAGGTGAAATTCCAAAATGCTGCAATAGGCTGGAACAACAATTTAACACTATCAAGCAAACTTTAAGTGTGAATATTAAAATGCATAAGAATACTTGATACTTAGCTTTCACCATTTCATATATATTACTTGATTTGATTGTTACAGCCCTTGGATTGTGTGGCATTATCATTCCCATTTACAGATGAGAAAATAAGAGTTATTAAGGGACATGATCAAGATCATACAAGTAATTATTGTGACTATCAGGTTTTCGGTTCAGGTCTTCTGACTAAATCTCTAGCCCTTTCCTTGTAGCTTCATCAGCTCTTTCTGAGGAAAAGGTCAGTTTCCCTGTGTGGACAGAAGATCACAAGACTAAAGAACAGTTTTCTCCACTAAAAGTGGTAAGAACTTTGATTTGTTTCAAGTGCCAGTTAAGCTTAACAGGTGAAAAAGTCACATAAAGTTTAAGATGAATTTAGGCTGAAATACCAGAAGGGAGATGATAAACTCGCTTTAGCTTTGCAACAATCAGAATGTTTCTAGAGGGGGTTGGCAGGCAGCCAGCATGGGGAGACGCCTTCCTGGGCCTGTCAGGGATGCCCCTCCACGGTGCTGTTGCTGGTTGAGGGGCCATGGGGGATCTTGTCCAAGCCCACTTGTTTCTGGAGAAAAGAGCCAGACTTCTCAGAGGTCAGTCTGTTCAACAAGTGGGACCCCAGGGCCTGCTGTATATTCAGCAAAGAGAGCTTGCAATGACCTCCTCAAAGGATAGCTCTATCTCCATTCTGGGTTCTAATGATGCCACCACTTGTCACATTGTGGTCCTGAGGCACACAGATAGTGAGCTACCTGCTTGACACATTGTGATGGAACCTACACCAAAGCTGAGTTCCTCTCAGTCACGAGCTCCATAAAATCCTTTCCAACCATGCTCAGTGTGGAAAGCTGGAAGTGCACCTCCTGGGCGACTTTGGTGACACCGGCAGTTGTCACAAAAACTTACTCATCACCTTCTTAGTGAATTTGACAGACAGGAAGATGACATTCACTTAGTGACATTATGTGTGACAGAATTAAATGACCTGGAAGAAAATGAAAACCACTTTCCAATTTATGGCATTGCTGTCAACACTAACACTGCAGAGATCACAGCCTCCTTCCAAAGATAGTGAGGAGCAGCTGCAAGCTGCACCAGCTTTAACAGGAGGACCAGTAGCTAGTGTTTACGATGCAAAGACAGAACAAGTTCATATAGGACCTAGTTCCTGGGTGCCATTTCCACATGTGGATTCCTGGTTGCAAAGGTTCCTGGAAAACCTTTCCACTTCACCTCTGGCTGAGGCTCCCTCACTCCCACCCCAACCCCCATGTTGTTGAACATACTAGATCTACCTGATTTTTTAAAAAATACTCATCTCCAATAAACACACTATTTCCTAGAACTAAAGCTTTATGCTTAAAAAACAAACAAACAACAACAAAAACAAACAAACAGAAAAGATTTTTTTCTTCAGGAAGTTAAAAATAAGAATTACCAAAGACAGCAACTTTTTGGCATGACAGAAAGAAATGGTGGAGATTGGACAGAATATGAATTTGGAATCTACATCCATTGAATCTTAGTGTTTTTCACATGACTTTCAAAAGAAAATCTTATTTTGGCAAAGAAAAATAAAAAGAATGTTTCTAGAGTGATCTATTCACTTTTGTCAGTGTACAAATAATATTAGCATTGACTAACATATATTGAGTGCTTACTCTGTGAAAGACATTTTTTAAATTAACTAGTTAATCCTTAAGTGTCATTAACAAACCAGAGGTAGTTTCAGCCAGAGAAAAGAAGACTGTGGTGATGACAATGGAGGTGGGAGTGATGGGGTCGAGGAAGGAATTGAGGTCTGAAAACCATAAAAACTGAAGGTGGGAAAACTTAAAGAGATTATATTTATTCTCAAATCCAAGCAGCACTATTATTTGAAAGAAAGGTGAGGTTTATTGGTGAAATCTTAGCTGTAAGAGAAAAGTTTAAAGAGTCAAAGTGACTGAGTTTCAGACTTGGGCTCAATAAAGCTGAGTCACTTAACTGTTAAAATTATTCACAAATGGTATGGATTTTCTTGTGAGGTATTCTAAGCCCACATAGAGGAAGACTTTAAGCACTTTCTGAGTGATCTCATCTGTAAGAGACCTTGTGGAGGGGAATCCCTGCCCAGGATAGAATGATTGACAACTCCCTTCCAAGTCTAAGCTTCTGTACTGTTAAATTATCCCGAGGCTGACACTTGAGTATAAAGGACTCTTGGACAGCTATCAGCAGCCTGAGTAATGCAACTGTCATTCATGCCTAGAGTTTTGCTGCCCCTCGTTGGGCCTCCACATACTGAAGAGACAGAGTTATTTCTTTGGCAGTTCCCACAAAGCCTGGCCTTCCTAAGTACCCTTTTCCTCCTGTCTCCCTCCAGCCCGCTTGCTACAGAAATGCCCCCAAGATTCCAGTTAATCTTGCTTCTATCTAAGTCTCTTGTAAATGTTAATTTAATCAGTCATATTATTATTAAACCATAAGAGACAAATATGTGATTATTAAACTTAATTTTCTCTGGCAGTGGGACCACACAAGCCAGCAAGAGAGGGGTTACTAATCTGACACCCTATTTTTGAGGACTTACCAGCCCTTTCTTTTTATATTTCTTTTATTGAGAGCCTTATAGAGTGTTGGAGCATTTGAGAAACTTCTTAAGTTTATAGCTCTTGGATTCTGTGGGACAGCAAAACTTCAGCCTGGGGATGAGAGGAACTAAAGTTCAGCACCGGCTACACTCTTCCAAATCAATGGTGCCTAGAAAGTTAAGAGTCAAGATCATGAGGGAGTAGGAAATGCAGTAAGAAAAGAGGAACAGAAAGGATCAGAAGTGCAAAAAAAAAAAAAAAAAGGACTCCAAAATGGGGATGAGCAACATGAAAATAAGGAAAGGAATAATAGCTTCTCCTAATGAGAGAAAGAAAAAACTATATCAGCGGTTAGTAAAAAAAAATAAAAATCTCCACCTACATTATAAGACAGATGAGCCTCATTATAGTAATATATTGGGCCTTGGAAGAAGAAATAAGTCCAAAGGTGATAAATTGCAGAGTGGCATCTTGAACTTGACATTTTTCCTGAGAGTGTTTGGGCTGTGGTTTAGGCAGTTGTATGCTGGGTGGCTGCAGACTGTGTGGAGATAGATATTCTGGTTTCAATGCATTTCATGGTTTTAATAAGAAACTGAATTCATTTTCTTCAGATGGATACCTTTAAATTGCATAAAGGTAAGAAACACCTCTTAGCATGAGTAAATACCTCTCAGCAAGAACAAAATAGAAATACACATGGAAGTTAATTAGGCTTTATCTTTGGAAATGTCAGGTTTCTGGAAAAGAAAACGGAAGCTTTTTCTTCATTATACACAAAAATTGCTTTCTAACTGTGGGGAGCCGCTGTGGCCCCAGGCACAGAGGAGCTGCCTGGGTGAGCTGCTGATGTGCTCCCCTGCTCCCAGGGAGATGTGGGTGAGCTGCTGTGGCCCAGGCACAGTGCCTGGGTGAGCTGCCGATGTGCTCTCCTGCTCCCTGACTCAGACTTTGAGGCACCAAGGCAATACTAATTTAGCTTAGGGCCTTAAGTTCCAGAAAAGCTTATCAGGATATTGGTCCCGGCCTGAAGGGTTAAAGGACAGTCAAGCCACATACCAAGCCAAGGACTCTATCCTCCCCGCAAGTTCCCATTAGAAGCCGAAACAAAGATAGGCACCAACGTCAGAGCTCCTGCAAGAGGCAGGGTGTTTACTCTGAGATAGCATTCAACGGCCTTGAAGGAACTACTCAAGGGGTAGGAATGCGGAGCGGGGTGCTATTCAGAAAAGTTAACAGTGTCTGTATAAATTGAGCTTGGAAAATAAACTCGGGGCTGGCAGCTGGCAACAGGCATGAGCTGCAGCCCTCCCGATCCCATCTTTTTTGTGTCTGTCTTTTCTTCATCTTCACCCCTTCCTCAGGACCGTTCAACTCTGCCGGCGGGCCCCGACATCTAACACAGTGTGAGACTGAATTCTGCTAAATACAAAAAGCTTACTTAGGATGTAAAAGACTTGGCCCCTTTTTTGGGAGTGATGCACCAGGCTTAGATGTCAGCCTGGGAAGACTGGACACACAGTTCTTCTACTGACATGCATAACTCAAGAAGCTGCACCCTGTGTTTGGTTTTTGTCCAACTGAAGGTGGACACACATACAGAGTTTTAGAGAAGAGAAGCAACTGGAAGTTTGAAGGACTTACATAGAAGAGCTATTTTTTTCTTAATTTTTATTTATTGATTTTAAAGAGAGAGAGAAAAAACAACAGCAACAAATCATCGATTTGTTGTTCCACTTATTCATGCATTCATTGGTTGATTTTTGTATGTGCCCTGACTGGAGATTGAACCCACAACCTTGTCATATCAGGATGATGCTCTAACCAACTGAGGTATCTGGCCCTGGCAAGTGGAGGTGTTATTAACAGGATTATTGCTCCCTTTAAATGTAACCTTTGTCAATGAAAATATCAGCACAAAAGAAGGAATGTTATCATGGCAAACATTTGTAAGTGAATTTAACTTACCTCCTTGGGGGGCATGATTCCAAACAATGGGAACATTAGACCAGGCAGCAAAGCTGTTACAGACAGAGGCAAAGCTTCTGTGAGCCAAAATATGCCAATAACAAAGAGTATGTAGGCACATCTTGCTTCCTGGAAAGAGCAAAACACAAAGTGAAATAGTGAAGCTGGGAAATCATAGTTCACATCACAACCACACTTGCTGAATGGAACCATGTCACAAAGAAAGAGACAACTCTGAGGCCCCTGCACTTTGAGTTGGGCAGTAAACTGTCATTCTTAGGGGTTCCAAGAGCAAAAATTTAATACACATGAAAAATCAAAAACATTAAAAAACTCCTCATTCACTAAGTTCCCTTCACATTTCCTTCAAAACAGCAGCATATAGTCAAGTTTCTGTGCTCATATCAGTGTATATGGAGGCTAGTGCTCACCTTTGTTTGGCTGAAGAAATGCACTCCCAGTTCTGGAGTGCAGGAATGGCCAGGTTACTGCCTTTCCCCTGGGGCAGGGTACAGCTGTCTTTTCACTGCATTCCTTGGTGCCTGGCTGCTTGGGACCCATATACACCTACCTGCCTTCCTTTCCTTCTGCTAAAAGTGGGAAATCAACCTACGAGAAAACTTTTGCTGTACTTTGTTTCAGAGAAAGGACAAAGCCAACTTACATGGCATAGATGAGACTTAATTAGCTCCAAGTGATATGAACCTGGCGGTGAAGAATGTTCTGCCTTGCTTTTTAGAAAGATAGCTGAGCTCCTCGTGAGACACAGGGAGACTCAACAGGATTGAGACTCTTAATAAATCTGTTGTTTTGCTAACTATAAAACTACACACTTATGTTTTAGGGCATTGTTAAGAAATGGTTGAAATTCATCATTATATTTGGCTTACACAAATAATTTTCATATGAAATCATCCAGAACATACTAAGTGATCAATAAAGATTAGCATCTATTATATATAGCCTTGTTTTGCTCTCACACTACTAAATCTCTGCAAATTCTGAGCTAAATTTGAAAAATTTACAAAAACTGTCTGAGTTTAATGAAATCTTTTACTTAAGATTTTCCCAGAGCAATACAATTTCTAGCTCTGTTACCCCCTAACTCACCCACCTCAGGGTGAGTCCTCTGGGTTTGGTATTTACTCACCTAGCATCCCTGTACTTTTAGAGGGCTTCTAAGACATCCTTAATAATCCAGGATTATATCATTTTTAAAAAATGTATTGATTTTTAGAGAGAAGAAGAAGAGAGAGAGAGAGAGAGACATTGATTGGTTGTCTCCCATATGTGAGTTGACCAGGGATCAAACCCACAACCTGGATATGAGCCCTGACTGGAAATCAAATCTGCCACCTTTTGGTATAAGGGATGAAGTTCCAACCAACTGAGCCACACTGGCCAGGACTATATTGTATCTTTATTGGGTTTGTTATCTTCTTAAAGGAGAAATAATAAAGGTGTTTTGATGTTGACAGTGTTATTCAAAGTCTGCCTCTATAATTTTGAACAAACAATAAAACAAAGCTAGGCCTTGACTGAATCTTCCTAACTTGCTCTGGAGAGAATTTGTGACTACCAGCTTAATTTCAAATGCCAATGTAGGAGAAAGACCAGGGCTGCACTTTCTCTTAGAACACACATGAATAACCCCAAAGCTCCCCCTGATGACTTTATGTTTTCTATCATAGAAAGCTAATAAGAACCTAAATTTCAAGACAAAATGGACCCTTTTACCATCTTGCTCTTTAGGCACAACCAACAAGTCTCTCTGTCCTCTATCTCCCCATTATTTTACCTCTCAAATCTGCCCCTCAGACTTGACCTCACTTCTTCCACTGCAGACAAGGCTGTTCCAAAACCAAATCATCTTCCAGAATCCACTTTGATTTTGTGATTCCTTTGCATAAAGCCAGATTAAGGGGCTAGCCACCCTGACAACTATCTGGAGCACAAATCCATTGGACTGCTAAAACAAGAAAAATGAAAAAGAAAGAAAGGAATGGGGGAGGGAAAGAGGGAAGAAGAAAGAAAGAAAGAAAGAAAGAAAGAAAGAAAGAAAGAAAGAAAGAAAGAAAGAAAGAAAGAAAGAAAGAAAGGAAGGAAGGAAGGAAGGAAGGAAGGAAGGAAGGAAGGAAGGAAGGAAGGAAGGAAGGAAGAAAGGAAGGAAGGAAGAAAGGAAGAAAGAAAGGAAGAAAGAAAGGAAGAAAGAAAGGAAGAAAGAAAGAAAGAAAGAAAGAAAGAAAAAGAAACGGTGCTAGCTAATTCTGTTCATCACACATAACCCCTGCCATGAGGGATGAAATTTCATTTCAACAGGGATCTACTTCATCTAGACAGTCATATTCTGTTCAGATAGGGCAACTTTGGGGATGGAATAAAAAGCAAAACTTCCCGTATTAAATTATTAGCCTGTTGAGCAAATGCTTTCATATTTTAACAGGCCCAACCCTTATTTGAAACAATCAAGTCAGTGATTTTCAGTAGTCGATTGAAAAAAAATTCAAAATCCTCATCTGGTATTCAAGGCCACCTTCAGTCTAACTGTAACAAGACTTACCCCATTACTTCCTGACATCAACTCTCTATTTTTAAAGAGTCTTCTTTACATATCTTCTTGATATTTGTGTTCCCATCCTTGGTTTCATCATGCACTCTTTTACTGAATTCTAGTCCATAATATTCAACCAGGCAGTCATATCAGTAAGTCCCCAGGTGTCCTTAAGTGCCAGCTGCTACTGCCTGTGACCCTATTTTGGACTCCTGAATGCTTTGACCTAATGTGACTCTTTAGTAGATGAAGTAGTTGTGAGCTAATTGCCAAGCCTAGTAAGAAAATACAATTTATTTGACTCACAATGGTATGTGTGTATTTAATTTGAGTCAGGATTTAAAAACCAGCAGATTTCATATTAAAAACAAAATATGAATTTCTGGCTTCTCTTGAAAAACTAAGAAATTTGGTAACATTGGGATCAGATTCTTCTATGTCAACAATTCTCCAGACTTGAGAAAAGCTTACCTTTTAGAGACTGACATGTACTTTTCAGTTTTGTACAATACCACCACTCCATTTCATGCATTCTCTTAACTGCTTGGCTTTTCTCAGCATTTGAGTAAAATCTTGGATAAGAAAAACGCTGCCCACTTGCCCTGCCTTGCAAATCTTGCTTCGCTATCCCAGAATCAACACTTTCTTTGAATTTCTCTGTGAGCTCACTCTGGGGTCCATGGAGAGCAGCATCAAGCATGATCTGAAAGCTGTGAGAAATGCAGAATCTCAGGCCCTCCCTCCAACATATGGAATCAGAACCAGCAAGTTCCTGAGGTGATTCTTATATAGGTTAAGTTTTGAGAAGCATGGCTTACTTCCTCTTCCATATCTTCTATTTCATCTTTAACTCTGCTCAAGTTTCAAACACAGAGTTGCTTCCAGGTAGTATCCTTTTGCCCAAGCTGAATCCCTAGATTCATAACCTATTTTGAAAATTTGCCTATCCCTCAATGTGTGGTTCAAATTTATATCTTGTCTGTGGAGCTTTCCCAAATCACTTATACAAATTTCATAATTTTGCATATGAGTTCCTGACTAAGGCATCATGTCTGCATTGCTCCTAATAGCTGCCTTCCAGGAATTTGTGGGAAATGTCCCATTTTTCCATATTTAAGGAAGCCCAAAGTCTAGAAAAGGAGGATAGTAGAATGACCCCCCTCTGATGGGCAGATGGCCATCTGGCCCAGTTTCCTCAGGATAGCGCTGATTTACCCATGTTGTGCAGGTGTTCCTTCTGTTTAGCAACCCTTTTCATTCTCAAAAGTATCCCTCTTTGGCTGATAAATTATACAGTCATTCTATTGATGGGTCCATTCTAGAAATATCTCTTTCTTTCAATTCCCATTTTCTATTATGTGATCTTTCTTGGTCAGTCTTGGAGTCATGGGCAGGAAAGTGTTCTTTCCTGTCAACACTCCTTAGGCATTCAACAATAGACCATTAATCCAGGCATAGTGTCAAATATTTTCTTTTAAGAATCTTATATTAAAATATGTAGGTTTATTTGAGATTTTAAAATCAAAGATCTGTGAATATTCTTGTTAAGAAAAGAACAATAGAGGATAACATTTTATAGTTTTCTGTTATTTACATATATTCAAAAAACCTAATATAGGAGTGAGTGATTTTTGGCGAACAGTTTCTTCTGATGAGGAGGAAAACTCAGACATTGTCTAACTGTGCTGCAACTCACAAGACATCCAGCTCTGAGTCACAGGAAAAAATTGCTTTATTTTGTCACTAGAAATTCTAAGTGTCCCAAGATCTCTAACTATATCATCTTAGTCTCCTGTTGCTCTCTTTAATTTTTTTCTCTCCCTCTCTTTCTCTACCTTCTTAGCCAGTCCACTGCGCTCCTAAAGTGGGACCACACCACCACCACCATCACTATACACCACCACCAATAATATCATTAATACACCACCATCTTCATCACTATACACCACGACCTCCATCACTATACACCACCACACCATTACTATACACCACCACTGATATCACTATACATCACCACCATCACTATACACCACCACCTCCATCACTAGACACCACCACCTCCATCACTATACAGCACCACCTCCATCACTAGACACCACCACCTCCATCACTAATACACCACCACCTCCATCACTATACACCAACACCGATATCACTATGCACCACACCATCGCTATACACCACCACCACTACTGCTACCACAAGCAAACAAGGGTAAAACAATAAAGAAGGCCAACTGTCAAGTACATTGGACTGTGGGTGAACTGTTTTCCCTCTCAAATCTGCTCAAAGTCAAGTACATCTGATAGCCTTATTTAAATTAAATCTGCGACCATAGCAAGTAAAAATTTGAATCAAATTCTGATCTAAAAATAGCAAAGCATTTTAGTATTATGAATTCTTGAACTGAATGACAGTAACACAAATAATGTCTACTTTTGTTTGTTGTAGAGGAAAATACAGAAAGAAGACTCAAAATTATGACCAAGGCTGATATTACAGCCCGGCCGGGTGTGGCTCAGCAGTTGAGCGTCGACCTAAGATCCAGGCAATCAGGTTTGATTCCCGGTCAGGGCAC